TGTATTGTCCATTGGCTTGTATTGTCCATTGGCTTGTATTGTCCATTGGCTTGTATTGTCCATTGGCTTGTATTGTCCATTGGCTTGTATTGTCCATTGGCTTGCATTGTCCATTGGCTTGCATTGTCCATTGGCTTGCATTGTCCATTGGCTTGTATTGTCCATTGGCTTGTATTGTCCATTGGCTTGTATTGTCCATTGGCTTGTATTGTCCATTGGCTTGTATTGTCCATTGGCTTGTATTGTCCATTGGCTTGTATGTAGATTTTGTGTTGTTGCGTTTTGTATTTGTTTGCGCTTCGAGCCTTTATTAGGGATGAAGCGTGTTTTTTTTTAAATGAACTTTATTATTCTTATTAAGTGCAAGTGCCTCGTGAAAGGAGGGTGATACTCATTTTTAGAAGCTTTAAAGGACAATGCCTGGGCCATGTGTTTAGAAATACCTCGGGCAAACGTGGGCACTGTTTTGAAGTTTAATTCACAATGCTTTTACAATGCCTTCCATCAAGGAATTAATTTTCTAAGGTGTTACCCTGTTATAAACCCGGTGGTTCTTGGTAGATCTGCGTGGTTTTCTTATTAATTTTAGGCTCTTAAGTAATAACGAAAATCCTAAAATTAAGAGCATTTCCTTTAAAATTGTAGCTTTGTTTGGTAGTAAAATGTCTTTAAATTAAATATTTGCGAAATTAAATATTTAACAAATATCTATTTATACACACAATAAAAAGAGAGCTTTAAGCTTATTGTAAATTTTTAGTAGGCTATACGTGGCTAACATAATATAATAATAAAACTAGAAATAACCCGGGAAACAATGACGTGATCCTCCTATTTACTAAAGTAAAGTCACTTGACAAAACATGCATTCAAGTCTATCAAGTGAGGCCAATGCACTTGACTGTTTAAAACTGCACCAATTCAAATTGAATTGGTGCCGACTTCTGTGAATTATATTTTGTGCGCCTAGTTACAACCATACTCATACACATTCAATCATAATCATACCTAGACAAATTTAAATATTATTTGTTATAAGTTAATGTTTAGGCTTTTATTAATTACATATAATCACAATGTCTCTCATTTTTTAAAATTCATTTGATTTTAAGCAATTCGATCATTAGAACCATTTGAATTGTTTCGGTGCTTATTAACACTTCAAAAACACATCAAAAGCTTTGAGATGGTTTTACTGTAAGAGTAGGAAGCCAAAAGAATGACGATAGCATCCTGTTTAAAAGTTTAGATTTACAGATCCTTATATATTATAAGTAAAATACGTCTAAAAAAAGACTGGCTAAACCCGGAAGGATTGGCAATAAATATAATGGGTATAAAATCTCTTGCTTATCATAATATTACTTAATAGTCTACGAAATATTAAGTTTAACTGTGTTAGTGACATTTGTGTTAGTGTTGAACTTAGTCTACTTTTTTTTTACATTTTCATTTACGAGTATTCATGTTATTCAAATTCATGTCCTAGCCTAGGACTGACAGCCTAATTTTGGAAGTGGAAAGTCCCGAACTAACGTGTACTATTACTATAGTATAACTAGTAAAAGATAGGAATAGACCTGCGCATTATTAGCTTTAGACTACTTTCTTTTTCTACAAAACTTATCAGGATTGGGAAATGGTTTTGTTTTGACTCTTGAGACTCCTCTGTACGTTTATTATAAAGTCAAACTCAACAAGTCAATCATTTCAAAGTCAAAGTCAACGATTTAGAATTTAGTAACCTAGACCTAAGTCTAAGTAAGTCTTACAATTACAACTTAAAATTGCTTAGACTTAGTGAAATTTATAGTTGTGAGTTGAAAAGTGTCTTGTCTTACTCTTACTCTTAGTGTTAGTCTTATTAGTTATTAGTCTTAACTTAGTTTTAAACTTAACCTTTAAAACATTTTTATTAGTTTTAGTTTTGTTACAAGTGAGTCTAAGTGAGCATGAGTTTTGTTTGTTATTATAATAACATCTCATTTCATTAACTTTTTTCAATTCAGGCTGATATTAAGGAGGGATTTGTGTGTTTATTATAGTTGCAGTGAATTAGTATTAGGGTTTAGGTTAGGTTGAGGGATCGATTTAGGGTTCAGGTTAGGCATAGGGATCGATTTAGGGATACATTGGTGAAATTCAATAAAAATGTGGCATTCGTCCTTAAAATGTACCTCAATTCATTTAACAATTTAGACTATTCTTGACTCTTACTCTAAAGAATTTATTATTTATTATAAATTATTGTGTAACTTTCGTAACAGTTTTTATCAGTGGAACTTCAATAACTTATTTATTCCTGTATAATGTAGGCCTATGCCTATAAGTATTAGTATTTGTATTAGCATTAGCATTAGGGCTAGGTTTTACAATCATACTTCTAAAAACTATTTTTTTTTAAAGTGATTATTCCTAAGACTAAGAAACACACTTGACTTATGCCACCATCTTATAATTATATTAATTATTAATAATATAATTATAGCTGGAAAATGTGTTTGTTTTTGTAGTTATATTTTTAAAGACGATAAATTGACAATGTTGTAATGTTATCAAATGTTTTAGTAATCAACAATATTATATACCTACTTATTTTATAGCATATCTTCAATTTAAAGTAAAACAGTGTTCATTTCTTAGACCTTTTGATAATTAATTTAAGCCTTTCAATTTAATCAAATTATTTTTAATTAAATATGTAATTATTTTAATTTTGGGATACTCGTACATGTTTTAAATTTTTGATGATAAAATACTAAACATGGAAATCAATCTAGTAATATTAACCTAATTAGGTCTATTGAGAATATTAATTTAATAAAACATTATTGATTTGGACTTTTGAAAAAAGAAATATTTGGCATTAAAAAAAATAAATAAATAATGTTATTTCTGAGTCCGAGTAAACTTTTAGCTAGACAATATATTTTAACCAATGTGTTTTGGGCTTCTTAAATTAAGTCGAAATTTTCTGGTCTTGATAACCCTCATAAATATATAAAGTACAACAAATAACAATCATATTCACAGGCAACTATTTTATTTTCAGATTGGAAAATGGGTGTAGAGAGAGAAATGCGGTCTGAAAAAAATGGAGTAACAAGGTCAAGTAATGTAAATTCAAATGTTCAACAAGATCACACACTTAGTGTTCATGAATCAACTTTTCTGGACAGTCAACAACAACAGATACTAGTAGCCTCAGCCTCCTCTCCTTCTTTGTTAACAGGTTGTGGAGACACCTCTACCCATGCTGGTGCCAGGATAGAAAGACACATAATTGCTCATCATATTGTAACTCAATCTCCTCTTGTTCAATCTCCTGTGTGCACACCTCAGGTTCAAGACATTTCTACTGAACCGTCATTCCATAATATTGCCTACCCAACATCAGATGACCCTCCAGATTCTCTATTTCTGACTTCATCTACACCACGATCTCGTCAGAGCAGCCAGGAGAGGCCTTACAGTGCACCCGCTAATTATTTAGAGAAGATTTCAGGGCAGCTACTTAGACTTGTTGGAGATCATTACCACTGCAGTAATTGCGGACGTCAGCTCCGTAACATAGGGGATCAATTAACAATAGAGACAACTCTAAGAAATGCGTGGAGTTCAGGAGAATTAAATAATCTAAGAAATAAATCTTAATATTTAATGCAATTTGTTAGTATTTTAAATATATGATAACATAACAGGGCATTATTTCTCATTTGGAATAAATTTACTCACTGGGCTACACTAATGGCTTTGTTAAAACTACAGTAGTCAACTAAAGTACCTTCACAAGACCATTGTCGGTATCTGTTTTTTAAAATGCAGCCCAGCAAGTTTATACTTTTATTTCTGTAATGTCAGGCTTGTGCAAAATATGATGGCCTTACTGCTTAGTGTCAAAGTTCACAGTGGATTATGATTTAAAGGAACAGTTTATGACTTTGATATTCATTATCTTTATATTAATATTATTGAATCCATTTCAAATAAAACTGTGATACTTGGAGACCTGTCGGGCCAAAGTAAATGTAAATTGTACATATTTGTGGTGGAATGTTCTTATAATATATTGAATAATATGTTTTAAAACTATTTAACCTTCTATTAATAGTTTTAGCTTAAATTTTTGTTACACTTCTAGTGTGTTTAAATCAAGCGAGAATGAGTTTGGTGGTCACTACCATAATTACAGCTTTGGCCACATAGTTAAACAAATATTTTTCGGCATGAATAGAAATAGCTCTTGAAACACAAATTTAAGAAAAATTCAATCACTTGTTAAATATCTGAGTAATATGGTAGTTCATTTCCATGAATAAAGGAACGAGTCTGTGGGTTTTATGGGTGAAAGAAAACTATGATCTTATAATTACATTAATTTTTGTTTTGTTTTTTGTCTTGACATACAGGTACAAGTACATTCTTGCTTATTATTATTAAATTACATTTTTAAAATATCTTTAACACTAAACCGTCTAACCCTAGTCCATCTCATGAATAACCTCGTGTAAAGTTCAAATAGTAATTCTTGAGCAGTATATATTGTACAAAATAAATGTGAGTTTAATGACAAATAATAAAATAAAGTTACAATTTAACCCATAAGTTGTTAATTTGTAAATGAAAATGAAAGCAAGCAATTACCATAAGAAAGATTTTCCCTTTTTGTATTATCTTCTCAACATCTTCATTTTAGCATTACATTTTTCCACTTAAGTTTTAGATTAAAGAATATACTTAAATTGTATAATTATTTTCTTATATTTAATAGATAAACTAAAATTGAAGTGTAAAAATATATGTTTTAAATTAAATAAACACCTGGAATTTCATTTAGTTTTGAACTATTGTTTAAATTAATAATATCTGTATTTAAGTCACCTTTGTAAAATATTAGCTCTAATCATTAATCCATTTACCTAAAAAAAACATTGTCTTCCCTTTCTTAATGCAGTCGAATGTTATTTTGTTGTATATCGTATGATAATTATCTTGTAGGAATGTAAGACAATTCTAACAATGTATCATTCTTTTTTAAGTGTATCATTTTATAACAAATTTTCCCAACCTAAATTTAAAATGACATTTTGTTAAATTTCTTTTTAAATTTTTTTGTGTTATCTTAAAGATCTCCTACTCTTTGTGTTAGACTTTATATTGCTTCAACTTTATTGCACTAAATTTAATATACCATTTCTCTGAAATGTAGTTAAATTGTCTTTTTATTACAGTTAGACTCATCTCAAGACTTTAAAAAAATAATATAGCTACCTGTACATTCCTTTTTTTAGAGTGAAATTTTTAAATTGTTTTTCATGGTCTATAAATATATACATACACACCAGTGATTTAATAGTAGTTAACTGAGGACTTGACTGCAAGAATTGTTTAATATTTTTGTTTTATATTATGTGCAATGAATTTCAAAGTTGTTTTGAGTACAAGTGCCTATATAAATTAATTTAAAATGATGTTTAAAATTATTTATTCATAACATTTTTAATGAATAAACATAATATATTTGAAAAGTCTTTTTAAGTTATATTTTCACATGGTGTTTTTGATCTGATTCTAATTTTCTTTCCGTTATTAAGGGTGTTCAATGTTTTAAAAAAAAGACTAAGTGACACAAAATGGATGTCTTAAATGGCTTTGGTTAATCACGAAGCCACCACCTAGCTAATTCTCCTTGTAAACAATATGACACAACTAGACAACTTTTGTAAAAGTTCAATAGCTCAATTTATTTACAGTAACACTTTAAAAAAAATTTAACCTGTATTACCACTTGAAAAATTTGTAGGAAGTGGTGTTACAGATTGCATGACATCAAATGCATTATCTGAGCGAAGGAAATTTGCAGCATGTGTAAGCTGTAATGCAGCATTGGGGTGTGCAGTACCAGGTAAAAGGGTGCACTCTCTTTCCAACATAGACGCCATGGCATCGAGTAGTATGTGAAAGCCAAATGACAGAGCTGCCCGTCGGGTACGATTTAACTCCTGGTGAAGAAGAACAGAAGCCATTAGTAATTTAATGATCAAGAACAGGCCATAAGATTCAATTGATCTATTCTAATTATATTTACTGATATAAATCTGCTTTCTTTTATTAGGTTATTGATCATGCTGTGTTGTAAAAAACATACTATATAATCTTGTTAACTCTACATAAAACAGTCTTTAATTATCAGAATTTTCATCGTTATAAAATAGAGATTATGCAACTTTTAAAGTTAATAAAACAATATAAAACAATATTTGGAAAAAAAAAAACGCTTTTCCAAAAATGCACTAAAAAGTATAAAATCTATGTCCCCCAAAATGTCAGTGTTATCACAGTCATATGACTAAAATAACAGCGTGGGTCCCCCATGAAGGCAATGTTCTTTGTTTCAGCTTAATTGGAAATCAGGAAGTGAGTAATAATTTAGATGCAAAATTTGACTACACACAAAATAAAGAATAGATAGAGCAACCTAAGAAAAAGTCATAAGACATTATATTAATTGGGCGCCCCCACACTTTTTTAGTCATATGACAAAAACTCTAATTTTTGGGGGGAAATTTATAATTTTTTTTGTACCGGTACATTTTTGAAGAAACACATTTTTTTTAAAAGTATTTTTTTAAATTGTTTTATTTTGTACTTTTAGTCAAAGTGTACAAAGTTTAAGCTCATTGGTGATTCAAGAAGTGAATCAAAATTGAGATGCAAGATGTGACCTGCAGAGGTCACTCAAAGGTTGGTGGAGGTCACTGCTGACCAACTGATCATTAAGGTTTGTATTGTCATGGGGTGGGTAAGTCTACAAAGTTTCAGCTCACTTGCAGCTCAGGAAGTGGGTAGAAACTGAGATGCAAGTTTTACCCATACAAAATTGCAATGTAAATAAAAGCGTTATATGAAGATAATCACCTTATAAAATTGGTGTATTTTCTCTGGTAACTTTCTGGCATGTCTTAAGACCTTTTGAATATCAGACTGCAAATGAAAACACATCTCATTCAACTTGAATTCAACAACAAATTCAGGCTATAATAAAGGAAGTTACATTGTTCAACCAATTTTTCCAACCTTAAAATTTATAACAATCTCCTGATTTTGTGTTGTCGAAAATCTGATTTTAACAAAACAAATTAAAATAATTCTATAGAGAAATATTTTCAGTTTGGCAACAAATTAATGAAATCAAAGAAAAAAAAACAATAGTGCATACAGTAATATTTTAATTTGTAGGCCAGTTGGAGCCAAGTTAAATTTGTTTGCTTTGCTTTTACCAAAATGTTTTATAACTATAATGTTTTTGGTTGTGTGTCTGTGTAAACGAAAATCACTTAGTAAGCAACCACTGTTAAATAATCAGTAATCACTATCAAATTCAATGTTTAAGAAAGTACTACCCAGTATATATTGAAATCTTATACAGTTAAGCATTGATTTTCCTAACTAAATGGGACCAGAGTTGTTTTGGATAACCAATATTTTGGATAACCTAACACTGCCATGGAAGCCTGCACCTAAAGAAGTTAGTGAAAAGAAAACATAATTTAAGACTTGAAAGTTAATCACATCTTACTTTTTTTGAAGGGTTTCTTAATCTTAACTTTTTTTTTGCTTGATGCCCATTTTAACATATAATTTAGCTTCATGATTCCATTTCCTGCAATTAAAATTTAAGTAACTGCTCTTTTTAAGTTCTTTTTTTTTTCTCAAAATTTTCGTGGCCCTTAAGAAACAATGCTATGGCCCCATGTATTAGCATATGGCCCATGTTGAGAAACATGATGTATGTACAGCATGATGTATAAGGGTAAGCTGATTGATGTAAAAAAACGGCGATGACCATAAATAAATTTCTTCAACATGAAGTTGTTTCGAAAATTTCATGACTGGCGCTAAGAATAAAATCCGAGATCACTTTGTATTTTGAATCCTAAAAGATATGATGTATTTTAAAGGAGTCAGAATTGTTTCCCCAGTATTTGTACACAAATGCTGCGTGGATAACTGACATTTCAGATAATTCGCATTCAGAAAATTGACACTATACTGTAAAAAGAACCACCAGCAAAGCCTTGACATCAACATATATTTTTTTGTAAAAGTCAAGAATTGCAGTGATTTCTTTACTCACCTGTAAACCAGAGGGCTTTATCCAAACAACACAAGACTGTGCATAACTGCGTTTATCTAAGGGTTTAACAGGGAAAGATGACTTTTTCTCTTCATCTTCTGATGAATATTCCTTACAAGAAGTAAGGTTGTCGAATGATCCAGTCCATGGAATTGAATCTTGCCCTGAAGAGAAAATATTTTTTTAATTTTGGAAGAGAGGTTTCATTAGCATTATTTGTAGCTTAACAAGACCTAATGACAGTACAAAGTTGAGTATATTTTACTGGTGCATTAGGGCATACATTGAGAGTACAAATACTGTCTTCAATTGGACATAATAATTAATTTATTTTATTTTTCTGCTATTACCTGGATCAAATAAGGCCAACATTAGGTTTGACTTTTTTTTACTGTCAGCCCATGAGTAAATCATGCCATACCAGTCATCACTGTAAAAGTAGAAATTCAGGAAATTTTAACATAACTTGTTTGAAATTAGCACCAAAAAATTAAGGCGGAAATTGAAAAATATCAGGAGGCTGATTACTCATTTTAACACAGGGTTTTAAACTTTAAAAAAAAAACAACAACATATATATAAATAAGTGGAAGGTGAAAAATTCCTACACAATTACAATGATGATGTCGCAGAGGAAAACTCTGGTTGACACAGCTTAGTTTAGTCAATTTCTAAATATTATTTTTCTCCCACAAAATTCGAAATGAAAATAAAATGCAAACTTTTTATGATTAAAAGATAATTTTGACAAAACTCGAAATTTTATTTGAAGTAAAATTAACTTTATATTGACAGAATTTTTTATCTTTTTTATAGTTTGCTCAAAATTAATCAAACATTATCAACCTTAGTGCTTATTATGTCAGTTAATTTGTTTCTTAAAATAGTTTAATCTGTTTCAAATGTATTTTTGTATTAATTTTTTTAATAAAAAGTAATTAAGCTGTCAAAGATTATATGGTGACACCTGTAAATATCAAAAACCTTTGAAACCAAACAAAAAGTGGTGTTATTTGCAGGGATAGTGGTATTTGCAGGTTCAGCAAGAATGACAATCGTGCACAATAGTTTGCAAGAAGAAGACAAATATATCATTGAAAATATATAAAAAAAGAGAAAAAAACCAGTAAGTGCATCCATTTACATGTTATATGTAATAACCAAAGAACAATTATGAAATTTAAGGGAGATTTTAATTTATATTTTGCTTAAACATTCTGCATGGAGATCATTTACATCAATACGTAGGCCTACATTGTTTTCTACAAGTCTGTTATGATATATCTTTCAATATTTACTGACCAAATTTCCACAGTTCATTCACAACTCTCAAAGAAAATCGACCGATGACATGGTGACAACACGCCCCTTAATCCTTATTTTAGAAATGCACAGGACGTTAGCAGACTGAATATCAGAAGCAAAAGGTCTACATCACACTCTGTTCATGATGTAATTTTGTCCAAGGGTGACATGGCATGTGCAGACCTGCCAACCTGCCAAGGAAAATAATCTGTATGGGGTGTGGGCCATAGGGGGGGGTAGGTGTGGGGGAGTGGGGGAAGTTGGTTTAGGGTCTACATACTAGTGCACAAGCGTTTTTTAGTAAATAAAGAAATATAAAGTTACCCCTTTTGTCTTTGAAGAATCCACAGAACACGAAAAAAACATTACTGGAAATGTTTATATACAGATATATACAGAACAGAATATCCATTTTATTTACATATATACACAGGCTGCTAAGAGTTCAGTTTTAAATTGAGTTTTCCAGCATATCCCTAGTGGCCTCTTTGCACTTGCCCAACAGCTCTTTGGACAACTGAAGGTCAGCATTGCAACTGATTTTAGTTACAAGCAAGTTAGAAAGAGTATCAACTTTCATGCTTGCCCTTGTTTTAATTTTTCTTCACAATCTTCTAGCAATCAGCGAGTCTGGAAAAAATTCTTTGACTCTGCCATTAAAACGATCGGAGTTGGCTAGAGAAATATTTCCTTCTATAAGAAAGATGGTAAAAAAAAACCTTCCGATCTGAGAACTGAATCGTCCGATTCCTTAGCAAATACATTAGACATGGATGTCGTAGATTCACCTGCTTAGCTGCTGTTGTATGGGGGTTTTTTTGTGTTAAAATATGTTTATTATTATCATTGTACCCACCACTTTCAATATATTTATCCATTTAATTAAGAAAAACATAAACAACAAAAAGCTCACAACACAACTGAATTATTTTTTAGCCTAGTAAAAGTATGAATCACGATCGGATTAATTGATGATTGAAGAATGATTTGGAGATCGCGGTTCGCTTCGATAAAAACAAGGCAGTGTCTACATGTCCGGCGACCGGACAAATAGTGTGGGCGATATTGATCCGTTGGGCATGTCACGCTTTATTTAACATTGTCATTTTTTAACCATTTTTTCATTAAAAATACCTGACAATCTGCAGAAGCGGTACTGTGCACAAAACTCTTGAGTCATTAAAAAGACCAGAAATGGTTCTAATATTTCTTTTGTAAAATTTAACATATTTCTTTTTCATGTAAATGTCCAGACTATCTTGAATTTGTTGAAAGGAAGTACCATAAACTCTGATGGACTATTAGCGGTCACATAACGAGGCTGACGGACATATCTTGCACAACTTTGTTACAGCTGTCATATGTCTTGGTCGAATATATAATAGCTGGACGAATATCTCAAGAACTTATTCGTCCACTCACCGGACATGTAGACACTTCATAAAAACTAAGAAAGTGGCATCGAAATGCACCAATTCCTGTCGTATACGATTTTTTTCTTTGATTTTTTTTTTTTTTTGGTCGCTTTTGGAATTTTATGACGGGTGAAAAATTATAATGTTCGGAAAATCTGAATTTTAAGGGGTTTGTCGGAAGGTCGGAATGAGGGGTAAAAATCCATATAATTCCGACTAAATCGGAAGGGTTGGCAGCTCTGCATGTGCCATCCTCAGGGAATAAAAAGACTTTGTCCCTTAGAAACCCTTGTGTATTATGCATAGGACAACAGGATTTTTCAAGGGGTTTTTGTTAAAAAAATCAATCAGTGCGAGTGGTGGATTAGTGCATTTGCCAGAGTCAGCACTATTTCAAGGTTCACTATTCACATCTTTCACAGTATTTCTTGTACAAAATGAAAGATTAGCAAAGATTTTGACCAGGTTTTTAGAGGCTCAGTGGAAGTGCCTGTGAGTTAAAAAGTTTATTTACCAAACTTTGGTGATGGCCACCATACTCTCAACCCTCAAACTGCCATGTAATAGAACTGTAAATGATGGTGTCTTCCCATCATCTTGACTGTCATCATCATCTTCTGATTTAACATTTTTGCCATCTTTATCTTTTGCTGAAATATATATTTTTGTACACTATAATTAAAACCACTAAAGGTGGCATTTATAAATTAATTATTATAATAATATGATTACTCTTTGAGAGCTGCTCCACAGAATTAAAAAAAAACTTAATCATTATTTTCATTATATACATTGAGTTGAAAGTTTTCTTCAAACTCTTTATGGAATGTTCGTTCGAACACTATCGATTTATGTACAAACCATCTGTTTTTTCTTTAGTTGATCTTGGCAATACCAAATGTCTTGCAACTGTTGGAGGGCTTCCAATATCTTTAATGTCCAAAAAACCTAAAATTTCTAATTTGTCTGAAACTGTGTATGTGACTTTTCCATCATCAAGATGCCTGTGACGTTGACACATAGAAAAAAATATTTTTAAATTTTCTGAGACAAAAACAGATTCTGGAAGTTTTTTTTTTTTTAAAATGTTAAACATGCACAAGAATGCAATAATTTAAAGTAGTAGATAACATTACTTATCAGTTATTACCTGAAGGTTAAAGATTTCATTAAAATTCAACATGACCAGACGGCATTTAAATTTAATAATAATATATACAAAGCGCAACGATGATAGCTCAACAAATATACAATAAAACGGTCGTGCCAATTCTGATTATGACAAATACTAAATGTAATAAATGGTTTGTAAAAGAAATAAAATAAATACCAGCAATTTGAACTAATGTCTTTAAAGACTTCATATTTTATTTTTTTTAATTACCTTATGAATAATTCAGGCTTGGGAAAAAGCTGGATTGCACAACTGAAGTTACCACAAGTTAAATTACCACAAAATGGGTTGTAGTATTTTTCTGCTAATCTGTTAAATGTGTCCTCTACAGATCTGAAAATGGTAAAATTTTTAAAAATGAAACATTCAAAACATTTGGATAAATATGAATATGAACTACAGAATTTCCTACTAATGTTGAATCATTTATCATGATTGTCAATTGGGAATAAGAATTTGGTTAGTAACAGATCTGACCAGGACCAGCTACAACAGGATCTCAATCTGTTAGCTGAGTGGGAGATGAGCTGGGACATGGAATTTCACCCTGCCAAGTGCCAGACACTATCAATCTCTAGAAGTTGTACTCCTCTACACTACCAATACGAACTGCACGGCCATATACTTGAGCAAGTTTCCTCCGTAAAATACCTGGGTGTTACCATTCAAAGAGAGGTCCGCTGGGACGAGCATATTAACAATGTATGTAACCAAGCAAACCAAGCCTTGGGGTTCTTAAGGCGAAATCTAAAGATTGGCAACTCCTGTGTGAAAGAAAGAGCATATAAAGCCTTTATCCGTCCGATTTTAGATTATGCATCTTCAGTCTGGGACCCATTTACCCAGAAGAGCATTGACAGGTTGGAGGCGGTCCAGCGACGAGCAGCACGCTTTGTCCTAAACCGCTACAGGAATACCTCTAGTGTTGGCAGCATGCTAGAAACACTAGGCTGGTCACCATTGGAGAAACGACGACGACAATCCAGGCTCTCCATGATGTACAAGATAAATAATGGGCTGGTCCACTGTTCCAGTATTAAACAGAAACTCGTCCCTCTCCCCCATAGACAGCGACGAGGCCATGACAGGCAATTCAGGCTCATACCAGCAAGAAGCCAGTATAGGAGCTGCTCATTCCTGCCCAAGACAATCAGGGACTGGAACCATCTTTCAAAAGGAACAGTTGAGGCGACAACACTAGACACATTTTTGTCTATTGCCTCGAGCCTTCAAACCCCTAGTGCATAATTTCCTCATCACCACCAGTAACAGAAACATTGCAAATCCCATCTACATGCATAGGAGCCAAAATGATCAATAAATTGATCGTGGGCCCTTAAGATATAGAAGAAGAAGAAGAATATATTTTTTCCAAATCAAAACTCTCGCTTCATACACAATATATTGGAAAAATAAAAATAAAAGAACACTTACTTAAATGAAATAGCACCATCCAAGGTGAATATCTCTCCACCCTGATCTCCAACATCAATGAGCCTTTGATAGTAGGGCAAAGCATTACGAACATCTGGATCATTGGGATTGCCAATACATACTATATGAAGTTTACATGGAAATGGAAAAGGTAAAGGAAACTTCTCCTCAACTGATTGTCTCATGTTTATGGTTTCAAGTGATTTCTTTAGGGATCCAACACCAATACCAAGGCTGCCATCAGTTATTAAAATAACCTGTTGAGAAATATTTGAAAAAGCATTAATTTTAGATTAAAATGGCATTGCAAATATAAATAGCATTATTTCTCATGATCAACAAAGTGTTTCAGCTACATTTGTTTCAAGCATAAAAGGACAACATCTAGCAATACAGTATGCAGTGAAATTACTTGACAAGGTGTGTGACTCCATTCATCAGATATAACATGTTTGATTCCATTCAGAGCTGTCTCTATACATGTTTTGCTAAAGACCTCAACTTTGTTTAAGGCAGTTCTTATGACATTGTAGTCCCTTGTGAATGTAGAAAGTTGCTCATACAAATATGAAAATGCTACCTGAAAATATAATTATATAAATAATATATATCTCTAAATGACTTTTTGAAGTTTAATTCTCTCAAAAGAGGGGTAACTGTGTCTGACACAGCGGCGTAGGAAGGGGCAGCCGGAGGGGGGTGGCCGCCCCTGGCTTACATTTTTTTCATCAAATTATGGGGTGGCATTTTTGGCTGCCAACAGAGTTTATTTTTGTGGAAGGAGGGTGGCAAAAAGCTTGATTCGCCCTTTGAGGCACTAACCCAAGCTAAGCCACTCGTCTAACACAACGATATGCATGTTAAGCATTTGGATTATACCACTAGTAATATTTATCCTACATCCTGTTAAACAAGCCGAAATGTTAACAATTTTTAGTATTAAAATTAGAGGCTTTAAAGCAAAACAAAAACAAATTGACTTCCAATGTACCAGTAGTACTTTTTAAAATTTTTTATTAAATGAAAGAAAAACATCTGAAATAATGATTACCAATTATAAACAAGTAGCCTAAGGCACCTGTTACTCTTATGACTCAAATCCTATCACATGATCGTTGCTAGATGTAAAATGTTATAAATTGTTATATTATTATCATTATTATAATTAAGGTGGTTTTATATAGCGCTGTCCCTCAGAATCTGTTTGCGGACGATTGTGCCTTCAACGCTGCCTCAGAAGCCACCATGCAACACAGAGTTGATATCTTCTCTGAGGCCTGCAACAACTTTGGCCACACAATCAACACAAAGAAGACTGAAGTGATGTATCAGCCAGCTCCCAGTAAGCCCTACATTTAACCCAGCATCACCATCAGCGGATAGCATCTAAACGCAGTGAATAAATTTACCTACTTGGGCAGCACACTCTCCAGATTTGTCATCATGGATGACAAAATGATAGCCAGACTTGCAAAAACTAGTGCAATATTTGGCAGACTCTGCAGCACTTCTTGGGACAGGAGAGGTATCAGACGAGAAACGAAGATCAAGGTATATAGTGCAGCAGTCCTCTCGACATTGCTCTATGGATGTAAAATGTGGACAGTCTACCAGTGTCACACCAAGAAACTAAACCACTTTCACACAACCTGCCCCAGGAAGCTCCTCGGCATCAGGTGGCAAGACAAAGTGCCTGACAAGCAGTTCCTCACTAGAGCGAACGCACATAGCATTTTCATCACCCTGAAGCAGTCTCAACTCCATTGGATAAGACACATAGCCCTATGGAAGATAACCGGCTCCCTAAACAGCTATTCTTTGGTGAACTCACACTAGGCAAGCGATCCCAAGGAGGTTAAAGAAAGCATCACAAAGACACACTGAAATCGGCACTAAAGGCCTTCAGCATCAACCCTTTTGAATGGGTGCAGACAGCCCATGATAGAGCCAGGTGGAGGTTAGCTGTCAAAAAGGGGACTTAATTTCATGAAGCCAGAAGGTCAGCGACAGCTGTGACATGCAGGCTAGCCCGAAAAAGCAACCTTAGACCACTGACTACAGCAACTATCCCCTGCCTGCGGTGTCAGAGGCTATTCCAAGCACGGATCGGACTAGCAAGCCACCTGCGAACTCACCATGCCCCCCCCCCCCCCCCCCCAAACAGGATGACAAGATGGTCCTTGTCAATCTTGACGGATGAAAAATGGAACAGAGTATCCCAGCCTACGGCTAGGCTCAATGCGCTTCACTTAAAAATTAGAAATTACAGAAAATATACTGTGGAACCCCCTTATAATGCAAATTTGGATATAACATGGTCATGGAATAGATCCAAAAATTGTGTGAATTCATTTACCCATGAAATTGTTTTTATCAAAGTATCTAAAACAAATTTGTAATAATAATATATTCTCATACAACACCATCAAAATACAATAAAGCTAGTGCAATTTCAACACCCCATAGCTCATTAACAACAATATATTTTAATTATTTTTTTTTTAACACTATCACATACTTTTAAAAAATACCAATACAATTCTGATGGAGTATTGTAAAATCCTGCTAATGAAGCCATGAGATTTATTTCTACTGTTGGCTGAGGAAGGCTTTATGCCGAAACGTCCTTGTTTTTGGTCCTGTTATCTTATTTCAAGCTTCCACATACCTTGTTTTGCTATTTCATTCATTTACTAAGCTTGAAAGCAGTCTTTTAATTTATATTGAGATTTATGAACCCAATTAGGATTTCACTGTCTTAAGAATATTATGTGAGTACAAACAATGTTTTAGTTCACTGAGATTCATTGACAGTATTCCAAACTAAATAATTACAATTTCTGGAAAGTTTATGATGATGCTATTCCTTCTCAAATTTTCAAATTCATTCATATTCATGTAATAATGTTTAATATTTTTTGTTAAATTGATTACTCACAAGTGATACGAATTCCAATTTGTAATTGGCACTTAAGTAATCCAGGTATGTGTTGATTCCATGAACAGCAAGGTGACGACGTTGATACTCTTCTGGGATATCTGACAGCACAACTGGACGAGACATGGATAGGGAAACATCTAAAGCTATCACAGTAGGCATCTTGAATACTGTAAATATGTATTTAGAAAACAATATATAGCTTAAGTTAAAGAAGTTAAGCATTTAATGATAAAAATTGAATTACTACATAAGACCAAGTGTCATGGTTTCCATAATTTAACTTTCAATTTCATAATTTACCCAACCCTTCAAGAGTACCTTGGATGGTCACAAAAATAAACTTAAAGTTTTATGGTTTAAGTTTAAACTTGAAAGCCTGTTCAGATTTGATTTAAGTATGAAGACTGAGGAGATGAGGCCTAGCCTAAATGCCCTGAGAACCCAGGAGCACCAGGCCTCCTTCACAGGAAATATATAATATATGAATATGATTGAGATTAGGAGTTGACAGAGTTCACAGAACCAGAATTAAGGGGAACTACGACTAAGACTAATTTCAAAGAATAGTTTAAAGAAGTTATCTTCAACTCTCTTAAGATGCCTGTACTGATCTTGATCGACCCCTGATCGGCCCAGGGTGCTCTGGCAAAAAAGACCAAAGACCTATCTATCCGCCCAATATCAAAAGCATCGAGATTGACCGGCTGGTTTTCCTACCAGCTAATCAGACTGCTTCTGGCATTTCTTGCTCACCTCAACATTTTAATGGCCGCTTCCATTGATATTTTACAGTGTTAAGTCATGTTAGATCATTTTTTTGTGTACCGAGTGACCCTTATAAATGCTTTATAAATCTGTGACCTTGAAACATGCCAAAAGGCATAACAGCCCCAGGCGAATATTTTATGCAGTTTTTCACATTGAATCTCATTCAAATAATGTTAAAGCTTCAACAATCATAAAATTTAACAATAATTTGCAAGTAAGTTTAATAAGACAACTTATTCTAAGTCTCTAAGTGTAAAAAAAAATTGCATTCATGAACAGCAAGGTGACGTAAATATTATTATTATTACAGTGGTCTTATATAACGCGGAACCCCAGCCTAGTGCTGGGCTCACTGTGCTTCACATTAAAATATACGTAAACATAATCATGACATTAAAAAAATACATGCATTTATTTAATTAAAAAACGGCTTTATAAAAAAATATATATTTAGATTTTTTATTCACCCACCCAACAACTTTTTATATATCAAGCTATGGACAGCACCCAACAGCATTCTTATCGGTCAGAGGGGGTGGGAATCAGTCAGGATATTAGGGTTTGAAGAGATGTGTCTTGAGTGCAGTTTTGAAGGCCTGGATGGTCAGTATATTGCGGATTTGTAGTGGGAGAGAATTCCATTGTTTGAAAGCGCAGAAAGAGAAAGATTGTTCCCTGTATCAACTGTATGTTTTAGTGCGCATGTCTTGGGAACAGAAAGAATACACGTGTCTGTGGAGGAGCTAAGCTGTCAAAGGGGTGAATAGACAGAAAGAAGTTGGGTTAGATAGGAAGGGCAGGAATCCAAGAAAAAGTGGTTGCAGAGAACAAAGAGTTTGTAGTCAATGCGTGCTTGTAAAGGGAGCCAATGAAATGAGTGGAGTGGTGGAGTGAAGTGATCATGTTTTTTTTTTGCTTATAGAACTAACCTATCAGCTGAGTTTTGAACCGTTTGTAGTTTTTCTATGAAGTGTTTTGATGAACCTGACAGTTGCAATAGTCAAATCAGACTATCTTATTTGCAAAAATGTTGATATTTCAGTTAGATTTCTAAAGTAAAAAATTGAATTAGTTTTTTCAATCCTTACAACCACAAGAATATATATAATATTTCTTTATTTTTTATAAATTATTTTGCAAAGTTAAGTAAGCGCAGGTCCAGTGACTTAGACTCTTAGACTTAGTGAAAAGCAAAAGACCTCCGCCTTTTTTGGCACAAACAATCTAAACGAAAAAGGCTCCACACATACTCCATATCAAGACGTCAGGAGGGTTAGATTTAATTTAAAATTTGCCTTTCTTTTTAGTTATTAGTAATCTTACTAAACTGAAGTGGAAGTAAAGAGTAAAAAAGGACTTAAGTAAAGTGTTTAAAGTTTAAAGAGTAGTAAAGAAGTAAATGTCACTAAACTTGACTAAAACTACTAATTAGTTAAAGTTAAAAGTTAAAGTGAAAAAAGTGTAAGGCAAGGCCAAGAAGGCCTACTAAATTCATAAAAAGTAAACTAAAACTACTAAAAGTAAAAGAGTTTAAAAGAGTAAAGGCAACTTTAAGTCTAGGGCAAAGTCACACTAAAAAAAGTGAAACTTACATTTCACAATCCCATGGCTAGTGCACGTTAATTTAGAAGCCTAAGCCCCAAATGTACTAATTATCAATCAGAAATTCAAACTACTTTGCAAAATCTTTTAATCTAAATTGTTATTACAGTTTACAGGCCTACCTAAACGGTTAAAATAATTGTTTATATTCCTTTTTAAACTGTAGGCTAATACTTTACCTCAATTTAGCTAGGGAAATAATTATTTATTTACCTTACCGAAATGAGATATAAAAGAGAGAAACATCCGAAGTAGCGCATACTTAAACTTAAAGATTTTTTTAATTTTGAAAATTAAAATATATTTTAAATAATGACAAATCACAATGTAATTGATAAAATTAAATTAAAACATTCTAGCTTAACCTACACTTTTAAATGATACATTTTAAGCTTTCCCATTGAAATGATCGTTATTGTTAAATAATTTTAAAATCATTTAATATTTGGGTTTAAAAGTTTTAACAAGCAATGATCTAATAATAAATTTAGGTCTATCCAATAATTTTTTTTAAAATTAAATATAAAAAAAGAGGAAAATGTTAAATGAATTTATGGATCATCCATAAAGTACGCCACGATCTCTTTTGACAAATGTTACCCCCTCTCTCCCCGTCACAAATCTCAGACCTCCCCCCCCCCCACCAAGTACGACACACTTTCAAACTAAAAAAAAACTTTTTTTTTTTAAACACACGTACTATTCAATGCAAAAAAGCAAAATATTCTTTTAGAATACAACTATGAAAACAGAAATGTTAACATCATTGTCAATTTTTGGTTTTAAATTTAGACCCAAGGGCGCCCACAGAAAAATTTCTAGGGCGGGGGGGGGGGGATCCATTTACTTTCTATATAAAAAAATTTAGTAATGTTTTAATGTAGTTTTAATTTACTGTAGCGTATTTGTATCGTGAACGCACGGACAGGACATCAGCTTAGTTACTTTCTCTTTATTTGCTCTTTACTTTAATAAATTTTGTGTCTATTTTTGTCTAAAAAAATGTATTCATCAATCCAGGGGGGGGGCAAGTGCCCCCCTTGCCCCCCCTGCGGGCGCCCATGTATAGACCATAATATGTAATGTCACATAGGCCTAATATCTTTAACCTCTCTCTCTCCACCTCATGCCATAAACTGTCACATTTTCTTAGAACCCGCACCCCTACGGCGTGTGACGTACTTAATGGACGGTCCCTTAGAAACATGCTAATTATGATTGTGCCTTACAATTTTAGGAAATTAAATATTGGGAAGGATAGATACTAATGACAAAATGTTTTAAACAAGTTTATGTAGTCTTTGGTCTCTTCTTTGCGCTTCGTTTATTTTAATTTTTAAAAATATTTTTTGATGTTCTGTTTTGTGTTTTTTTTATCCACTTTAACACTGTTAGCTCCATCTACAATTTCTCTGTTATTAGAATGAGAAAAAAAAACCTGCTCTTTTGGTACATAAGCTTTCGTTGCTCCCAAGATATAGGCCTATTATGTGGCCCCCAGGCCTGTTTGGGGGTGGAGTTGATATTATGTGCATGGCATGGCTTATATTAGCCTATATGCCCACGCCCACGTTGAGAAGCTCTGCTCTAAACCAGACATTAGTTTGGGTGTCATTTTGATTCGCCATTCGGATCTATTCAATAATAATTATCTTTTTTTTTTTTATTAGACTTTAGATTTTGTTTGTCGAATTTCGGCATTTATAATATTTTTAACACTTAAAATGAAAGGGAAATTACTCTGAAAAATATATGTATCTCTTGGAGCAAACGTAAACTTTTGAAATTTATAAGTATTGTTTTTTCGAAATTTTGCTGTTGAACTCTTAACTCTTAAGACAGGTGACTAAATGTTCTGTCTACTACCAGCTTTAGTATAATCTTTCATTAATTAATGAAACGTGCACTTTTAAAAATATTTATTAGAAGTAGAAGCATTCTAAGAATACTAGTCGTTAGACACCGTTAGTCGTTAGTAGGTGTCATGATTAAGAATAAGAGTTCTTAATATAAGACCGAAGCTCCAATTTGTCATTTGCGGAGAAAGTAAATTTACAGAATTTTTTTTTAACGTAACAAAATAAGTTCAGATATTCAAATATTAAACATTGCCAATTAATTCGATTAATTTGGATTAATAAGTCTATAATCTATGCTTGCACTGGCACTTGGCAGTCATAATAATAATATAATATGAGATATAGTCTAATATAGTGAATGAATATAACTATAATAATAATAGTTTAATAGTCTATTATAGTCACTTAAGTATAGTCACTATTAAAGTATAGTTATGGTATAGTCACTATGGACTATGGACATAGACGATATAGTGTCATCGTGAATCTTTGAATAGATGATTTACTTTAGAAATTTTGTGTTATAGATATTTTTTAAAGATTTTTAAAAAATGATAAATTCACAGAAGAGATGTCATGTTGTTTTTTTTTCCAGTGGCCGCCATCTAGGCTGACAAGACCAGTTAATTCAGTCACTTAGAGTCACTAAATCTAAGTAAATGTATCCCTAAACCTAACCTGAACCTTAAATGTATCCTTAAACCTAACCTGAACCCTAATTAATGGCAACTTTAATAAACATGCAAATGACATAGTGGCATCCTATCCTAGCCAAAAAAATATATTCACAACTTTGGAAATGGCTTACTTTTAATATTTAAGAATTCATAGGTTGGAAAAGCAATTCACTGTCTAAACTTATGCTATTATTTAAACTAAAATCTAGTATAGTTTATGACATAAATTCTGTGCTTGATATTAATTTAATTTTTTGATGCAGGAATATAAAATGCCAAATGCCACAGATGAAGATGAGGAAGATATATGGAATTATACAACTATTAAATTAAAAGGAAAGACAGCCAGTAATGGAAATTCTTTAAGCACTCTAGCACAAAGTAAACATTCAAATTCAAAAGGAAAATCTCAAAAGTTTGTTGAACAGCAAAGAAATAATGATATTGATACACCACAAAATGCAAGATTTTACAGTGATAAAAAAGACAAGAAAGGTAGGTATTCTTTTAATTGCTAGTGTTTGAAACAGTTGATAAAAAAATTAATGTGGATTTTTATAAATACATTTTCCCACTTACCTTTATGTCATATATTTGTATAAGATAATTTATGCTCTGTTATTTAGCTTGATGAAGTTTAATGAGACAATAACTATGTCATTTTTTATTAAAAATTTAAACTTTGAAATCATCCAATGAATATTATGAAAATGTGTTGCATCTCTAATTATCTAGATTTCAGAGCATAAACATTTTTAATATAATTATTTTTATGATGCATATCTTATTAAAACAAAAAAGAAAGAAATATTAAACTTTATTTTTGTATGAATTGAAGTTATTAAAAAAATATATTGATAATAAGAGATAAGCTTATTATTATACTGGACTTAAACTAAAAATCACAAATTTGGTCATCAAAAGTCATCAGTTTGTAAAAATTATAACAATTTTAATTCACACTCACAGATAAGGAAATTTGCTTTAATTTTTGGCTTACTTGAACACAGTAAATTCTTGTGGTGCTCAGAAAAGTAGCTTCCACTGAAATCATCTAGCTACAGCACCGATCACAGCACATCATGCTTGCTTGCTGCATGATAATAACTTAATAAAACCATGTAACCCAATACGTTTTTTAAAATATACCAATTTGAAAATTTGCTATTAATCTGTAATTTAATTATATTTACCAGGATATGCCACCAGGAAATCTGTATCACCTGAAAGAAGTGAAAAATCTCTTCTACAGAATCAAAATTCTTTCACCCAAGAAGTTATTGATGTTGATTTGTTGGATTATGAAAGTTTCAGCTCAGTTAAAAAATCTCCAGCAATTTCAAGTACTTTAAAAACTATTTTGAAATCGAAAGCAAGTTCTAAAAAGTTGACACCCAAAAAATCTGGTCAGCAAAAAAAAGCATCTTCTAGTAAAAGTCTTAACTTTGCACAAGGCTCTACATCTTCTTCCAACATTCATAATTTCTTTAGCCCTAAAAAGCATCCAAATAAAAGGAAAAGTTCAGAGTCTATTGATGATCTCAAATTCACAGATGATGAGCTCATGTTTATAAGCAGAGACATTGCTCAAGAGATTAATTGTGCTCGGACAAACCTCAGGCAGTCCTCTAATATATGTATTCTCAAGACAGAGGATGCCCCAGGGTCAAATAGTAATAAAGATGAAAAAGACAACATTTTCAACACAAGTAGCATCACAGAGGAAATTGTCAATGAAATTATGAAGGAAAAAGAATCTTGCGATTTAAATAGTTCTGATAAATTTCAGAAGAATCTCTTACCAATTGATTCACCAGCTTCAAAACTAAAAGAATGTGACCGTAAAGATAAACATAGAAACTCTGATGTTCATAAAGTTAAAGAGGCAGTTCAAGAGCCCCAAACTGATGGCATTTCTGGGGAGCTCTGTGATGGCTTCTTCAATGATTCAGACACAGACCTTTTTGATTTCAGTGATGGTGCTGAATTCAAGGATGAAATGGAAGAAAATTATGTAGCATCAAAAACTGGCAACATATCTAGCCCATCAAACACTGAGAGAAATGAATTTTTCCCAACACAGAAATCAAGGGTTAAATGTGACTTTGTTTCTCTTGGCTCTTGTTCATCTGTTGTTGATTCTCTACCTAGATCAGTGGTACATGACAACACTCTTTGTGATACAGCTGCATGTGCTCCTCCAGTGACAGCCACCAAGCAAACTTCCCTTCATTCCTTCTTTAAAATAAAACCTGGATTAAATGCAAAAACACATTTACAACTTAAAGCTAAAACTTCACATCTGGGTAAGAGGTCTAATAACATCTTTCACAATGTCTCCTCTCGGCCTAGTCTCCATCAGTCAAAATCAGAGCAGTTGCTACCCAAGTCATCTGGTAAAGTCACTATGAGGGATATCAGTAAGACACAAGCCTCTTTGGAATCAAATGACTATGTAGAAGAAAATGAACCCCAGATGGAAAATGGCAACAAAAAAAATTGTCCTTTTTACAAGAAAATTCCAGGTGATTATTGTACACTACTGTTTACTTAGACAGAGTTTAGTCAGACTGGGTTTACTTAGACATTATCATTTTTAAGTATTAAATACAGTACTATTAAACCATTTCATTGTTTTATTAAAAAAAAAATTCAATAAAGTAACAAAACATTGTAATATTTTATTCTATTACATCAGGTACTTCTATCACTGTTGATGCATTTCGTTATGGAGTTATTCCAGGCTGTCAGGCATACTTTCTCACACATTTTCACTATGATCATTATGGAGGACTTACAAAAAAATTTGCCCAGCCTATTTACTGCAGTCAGGTAAAATAAGAGCTTATTAATTGTATTTTGGTAGCACTTTTAATCAAAACCAAAGTCTAAAATTTATTCTACTTTACTTTACATTCTACAAAATGAATTGTGTTTTTTATTTAGGAAATTAATTGTTTTCCTCTGTTAGAACTGTTTTAAAATGTAACTGCTTCAATGGAAAAATAATAATGACAGGTGACAGGTAACCTTGTAGAGAGTCGTATTGGTGTTGACGGAAGGTGGATAAAACGTTTGCCTATGTGGCAACCATGCTTAGTAGCTGGAACAACATTGACTTTGATGGAAGCCAACCAGTGAGTTCCAAACTATTTTTTGTTCATTTCTTTAATTAAAGTCTAGTACTTAGCCAGTATGCAAATTATTATTTTTTTAAAAATATAATCATAATTTTTTCTTACAATGGTCTTTTTCTGATTCCCAGTTGTCCAGGAGCGGTCATAGTTTTGTTTGAGCTGAAAGATGGGAGAAAAATACTTCACACTGGTGATTTCCGGGCTTGTACAGAAATGGAGACTTATGATATGTTACAAAATGTGATCATATCTGAGCTTTACTTGGACACAACGTAAGAAATTTTGATTTACTTTTTTTAATGTTAGAATTTTAAATAGCTTATTTATGGTGTTCTGTTTCCCAAATTTTTGCAGAAAAATATATAATTTATATGAATGAGAGAAAAATTATTGGAAATTCTAAATAACAAAAGAAATAATTATTTCTTTATTCTAACTCTTTTTAAGTTTTTGTTTTTTGGGGTTTTGGTTTAAGTTATAATAGTTATGTTATTGTAACTTAGGTTACACTAAAAATTAGCTTGTTTTATGCATCTTTTAAAATTTAGGTACTGCAACCCATCATATGCATTCCCTGCCCAGAGTGAAGTTATTAATTTTGTTGTGTCCCTTGTATTGAAACACATATCAGATCACCCAAGCACATTAATTGTGTGTGGTGCTTATACTATAGGAAAGGAGAAAATCTTTACTGGTTTGTTTATCATTTTCTATTATATTTATAAAAAACTAACATTTGTGAAATTCTTTCAAGTTAACATTGTTTGACAGATACTGTTCATTATTTCAATAAGTGAAATAAAAAATATGACTTTTTAACATAGTTTGAAATTCCTAAAATGTTGCAATGATTGAAGATATTTTTTCTTAATAAAAGCAATAGCCAAAATCCTGGACACTAAGATATGTGTTATGAGTGACAAGAAAAAAGTCTTAGAATGCCTCGATGACGATGATCTCAAATCTAGGATAACTCTTGACTGGTCTAAAGGACAAGTCCATGTTCTTCCCATGGGAAAACTTAATCAAGAGGTTAATGTTTATAAGAGTATTAAATTTTGAGAGAAAAGTCTTTACATGGAAAATAAGCTTTAAAAAAATGTTAATAACTACAAATGCATCCAAATAGTGTTCATAATATATGTTTGTTTTTTGTTGTTTTTTTTTCGCTAGTTGAAGGCTTAAAGAAATTTACTTACATTTAATTTTGAAATGTTATTTTCTAATTTTTTTAAATTTTTAATTTATTTATCCATTATTTAATTGGTTATTCATTTGTGTTCACACATGTTCATCAACTAAATAAAAGATAATAATTTTTATAAAAACTTTGTTTCTCATCTTTCAGGCTTTATTTGAACACCAAAGAAAACACTCTCATTTTAAGACCGTGCTTGCCTTCCAACCAACTGGCTGGACACATAGTGAAAAGATGATATCCCTGGAAAACTTGAGACCTAAGTGGAGTAGAAATGGAGTTACACTCTATGGTAGGATAACTTGACTTTGTATTGTTTGTAATTTATCTGAAAAAGGACACACAAAAAACAATGCAGATAAAAAAAAACACATTGCCTATTTGATTTTTTGTTGAAAAGAAAATCATCAAAATGCCTCTCTCTATTTTGGTTCAGTACAAGTCTTTTATTCTTATAATTAGGTTTTTGTAGAGTACCGAAATTTAATAAAATAACCTTGATAAACAGACCCGTCTGTAAAGGTTGAACCAGCTGTGGTCAAACTGTTTTGCCAAGCAGACAAAGTTGTGTCTAATGAACAGTAAAATTGACTTAACCATGTACAAAAACAAGAAATTTTACCATTAAACAGAAATTAAATAAGGAAATAGACAGTTGAATCGTCTTATTTTATCCTAAATGTACAATTTTACATTCCTTTCCTGAGCAAGCTATTAAAGTTAAGACACATCTCAACTCGGTCAAAAAATAATTTAGAACCTGTAATTAAACTTGATAGAATTCTGGATCACAAAGCCATGTTGATCCAAAAATTTGAACATAATTTTGAAACTTCGAATTTACATTTTTGAAATTCCTCAGATTTGCTTTTTTTTCTTTTTTTTTTTTCTTTAATTTTCGGCATTTTTAAAAATAAAAGACCATAACAATTTTAGCAAAGATATAATAAAAAGTATGCTTACTAGCCTTTTAAACATATTCTAATACTTAATTGAATGATGAAGTTAATTTTTATTTGTGAGAATTCAAAAAGTTATCTTTTTAAAAAAAAATTTAAAAAAGTTCAGGTAATTTTAAGTATGTCCTCAATTGTTGAAATTTGCTTTGCCTATATGTAAATAGAAAAGGTGATGTCTATTTTTTTATTATAAAAACCTATGGTAGCAAAGGGTTTAACGTCCAGGGTTGTTTTTCTATTTTATCTTTTTAAAACAACTTATTTGTTTGCTGTATCATCTATTTATTTTATCTTTAGGTGTTCCCTACAGTGAACACAGCAGTTTCCTGGAGTTGAAACGATTTGTACAGTTTATTAAACCAAAGAGAATTCTCCCAACTGTAAATAATGGAAACCCTGCAGCTCGGCAGAAAATGGAAGAGATTTTTAAACATTGGCTCCAAGACAAGAATGCAACGTTTGCATGTGGTCAACATGCTTAGATAAATTCTTAAATTTCTTGAGCTTATTTTTTTTTTAAAATTGTTTTTGGTCTTCTTTGAGTGGCATTAAATAATGTTAGTCACTAACATTGTGTACTAATTTTGACCTCTTAACTCACTTGGTTCTAAGACAGCAATTATCTTTTTAAAATTCTACATTAATTTGTTCATCTAGCCCATTTTCATGCTGGATTGTTGTTATTTTTTTCCCAATGCATTTTACTTTTATACTTGAAATATATAATTTATGCCTATAAAAGTTTAAGCAGAAAATACTCTTAAGTATTTGCAAGTTTCTATCCAAATATCATAGAAATTTGATAGAAAAATGTATTTTAAAACATCAATATTTTGAAAAGATGCCTACTTTTATGGCCAAAAATTTTATTGATGTTCTACATCTATTTTGAAAACTGTTCTAAATGTTAATTTCTTGTCCACTTTTGGAAACTTCATTTTTATCTGTAAATTTAAAGGCAGCAAACAATAATATTATATATATATATATTTTATAATTATATTTTTATAATTATAAACATTACAACAGGTAAAATAGAAATGAAAAACTGAAATGTTAATACTGGTATTGAAAGTAATTTTTCAGGTTACTATAAGCATTACTTAACTTTTTTTAAAATACTGGTACTTTATTTCTTATCTTATTTAAAATCTTATTTTAAGGCATTACTTTAGTCAGGCAACATTATATAACATGCATTATTTTTCTATAGCTTATTTAGATTAATTAAAACATGTATCATATACTGCAACATTATTGATGAATTATTTATAATTGTAAAAAAAAATTTTACCATGTTTATACAATAAGAGATAAAATGCCGCAACTAAAATTTTGATAGCAAATGCTTTGACTAATTCAGGACAAATATTTAGAATGGGATTTACTAAACATCTCACTGAAAACAGAAGTTGCTGTGCATATAAATCTATTATCTAAAACTAAAGTTTTAAAATTAAAAACTGCCATAAGGAAATAAATTGAATTAAAAATGTAATGATGTTGATGTTACGTAACACTTTCACTAAATTACTTTTTAAAATTTCAAGTGCTCTTTATCCCTTGTTATAAATAATCACCCTCTACTTTAGCTAAGTATAAAGTATAAATGTCTCTCTAGTCACCACATCTTAAACAGAGCCAAGTCTGTTTTTTTTTTTTTTTTTTCTTAAAAAAGGAATTTTTTGTTTTTTTTTGTCATAGATCCAAGGCTTCCCCATTTCCTTTATTTTTAAAATCTGCTCAGTGGAAAGTTAAATTTCTGTCACATGATCTAACAAAATGTCAAAAGTTATATTACACAATCATCTTTTTTCATTCATATTCAATTTATTTCTATATGAAAACTTGAATGTAACATAGGTTAAATAATTTGAAAGTTATGTTTAGTTATTAAGGAAATATGTGGATTTTTAAGACATAAAAAAATCATTTTATACCTTATTAAGTTTCTGTAAAGTTTATACTGATTATTCTAAAATATTTATAATTATTTTGTATATAAATTATTTATGAAGTATATTTACTTGAATAAATAATATTAAAATTTGTGGCTATATTTTGAACATTTTAAGTGTTATTATTATTAGCCTTTTATTTGAAAACTATACAATGTTCCTTGATTCATGAACCTAAAATAATCAATTCAGTGGAAGGAGAAAAGGACCTATTTGTAAAAATTTTTAAAACTGCTCTATCACTATAATTTACTTAAATTATCACTCCCTGACAGGGTCAGGGAACCCTTTTGGCTATTACCCCAAAATATATTTGTTTAAGTTTAAGCTGTTGCCCCCTCGATTAGAAAGGGAGAAAATCATAAACTAATTAACCTCGAATAGGTTTATTGGATCCATTTATATGGATTATTAAGTATAAAATAACAATAAAATCTTCTATATTGAAATGAAAGGATCTCTTGGAAAACTTTTTCCCTTTTTTTTGAGAAATTATTTAAATTTTTTTTAAAATAACAACATTGGAGCTTTTTGATGTCGGAGCACTATGGCTACTATCTTTTGGGTTCACCTGATTTCTCTGCTTTGTTTCATGTTTATTGGAGTGGAAGATCCATGTTTGCAAAAAGTAAAGATTGTTGCAAAGAGCAATGATGTGTTGACTGTGCAAGTTTGAATTTTAAATGCAGCTTTTGACATCTTTGAGCATAAGATAAACACCATATGACCAGGGGGAACTGACTTTTACAAAACAAGACATGCAGTTATGCTAGCTGCCTAGCCACTTCTAACAATTAGTTAGGTGCGATTTTCTGTTATACAGGGATCGGATGGAATGTTGCCAGAACACACCTTTCTGTCATAAGAAGGAACACATGTATTATATTATTTCTATCTGTTGACCCCCACATTACCCCAAGATTTTCCTTTTTACCCCATACAGGGTAATTTACCCAAGTTCGCCTACTCCTGCTCTAAGACATTTCAACATCATTCTATTAAGGTCTTTAAAACAAAGAAGTGTTTCTACCTTATGCATAAATCAAAGTGTCTTTTAGTTTTACATTAATTCTTTGAATGATCTAGGCTGGTTAAGGCAAACCCATGACATAGAAGTCACAGGGTTCAGCATTTGAAAACCAAAATAATTTTGCCCATGGAAACTCTTCAGATAGTTCAGTTTTGATTTTTATTTAATATTTGGATAATTTTTAGTAGAGCATTTCTGTCCAAATCATTGATTAATTTTAGTTTTTTCATACCTCTGCAACAAAGTATTATTCCTCTTTGGGACAGTAAGGTCAAATTAGTCTTTTATTATGCACTTTGTTAAAAACATTTGAAAAAGAAAAGGAAAACAAGCCATAATTATAATATTGAATACTTTATTTGTAAAATCTGTTGGTTGGTTATTAATAATGAATCAAATAGATACAGCATATTCCTGAGTTGCAAATTTTTTTTTTTTTTTAACAGATTAGTTGGCCAATTTTTACAAACACAGAACCATACAAAGGTAAAAAAAACAGACATAGGAGTGATTTAAGAAGGAAAAAATCAAAATGACGACAAACTTAAGAACAAGAAACAATACTTTATTTGTAAAATCTGTTGGTTGGTTATTAATAATGAATCAAATAGATACAGCATATTCCTGAGTTGCAAATTTTTTTTTTTTTTTTAACAGATTAGTTGGCCAATTTTTACAAACACAGAACCATACAAAGGTAAAAGAAACAGACATAGGAGTGATTTAAGAAGGAAAATATCAAAATGACGACAAACTTAAGATCAAGAAACAGACAACACTTGCAACAACTGTATGATTTAGTGAGGGAGAAGTTTATGAGAAATATATTCATACTATAATTGTATCAAATTTTTACTATAAGATAAAAAAGAGAAAACAATGTAGCTGTCAACTAAATTAGCATACAAAAAATGTACACAAATTCATATAACTTGTTACAAATGGATTTTAAAATTATTTTCAAAAATCCCTCTTATTCCACTTAATTTCACTGAAAAAAAATAATAAAGCTTATAAGGTTACCCATTCTATTTTTTATAGTGTTCTATTATGTTATTCAAGAACAACTTGTAATATGGTGCCACAATTGACACTGCTTATAATAGAGTAAAAAAATATTAATGTGCTATTTTTTATAAGTCTGGCTTTTTGGTTTCCTGGGCAACAGAAAATAGTAAATTATAGCATCCTATGCAAATCACTGATTAAATAACGACAGTTTTTAAAGGAAAAATGTGTATATTAAAATTAAAACAAATGATAATGTAAATGCAACAAGTTCGACCAATGATCTACATGTGTAGAAAATATACAAGTGGCATAGGCATCAAAAGAGAATATTTACGAAGTAGTGATCTCTATTATATATGTACACTAGTCTTTTATCCATCTTCGACTATATATTAGACTATATTGAAATTGTCATGAATAACATTTTTTCTTTCCTTCACATTTTCCTTCTCTGATATTCAAGAACAAAGAATGGTGATTTCACTGGTAATTTTAGTTACTGCCATTGTGTTACCAACATTCTACCTGCAAGATATTTTACGTTTGTTTTAGAACCTGAAAAAAAAAAAATCCTTCAAATAATATTTAAAATCCAAGAAAGTAGTTGGTAATCATAGATAAATAATTTCCAAATTTCTTGAATTTCAAGGCGATTTGCTTTAACTACTGATGTTAAAGAAAAAAATTCGGAAAGTGTTTTTGTTGTCTAACAATGGCCTTTGCATTTTTTTTTATTAACTCAACTCCAGATTTTTCTTAATTTATTTTAAGTCCAGCGCCTCAAAGATTATTGATCACTTCTTAACTAACCTGCATCTAAACAATAAAGAGATTTAACAAAATAAACTATTAAGTCCGCTAAATTGTAAAGATCAGCCGCCCTCTTCTTGTTTACATTTCTGTAATGGAGTTGAATGAGTTAAAATTAAGGGAGGAGAAAAAGGGGCAGGAGGAAGCAACTTTTCAAGATATTTAAATATCATCTTGTCCACAAGAATAAGGCCTAATAGAGGACTATTATTGCAACTTATGCTAGCGCAGCTTGAGATGATATGCATATAATAATTTCAATGTGTTTTTAAACTGATGAACTAAGCCCACTGACACTAAAGGAAAAATATGGGAAATAGCACACATTTTATTTCCACATATTTTTCCATAAAGTGCTGGAAGAAAATAAGACAAAGAATATGGATAAAAATGCTGCCTTTAATTGCACTTCTTTGTACACCAAAAGTCACACAAGAGGTTATCCTGTTTATTCTTATTTTTTATATATATATTTTTTTATATATAAATATTTACACACAGACATTTTGTTAGTATTGTTGAACAAAACTGAATTAAATTTATTTCTTCAATAATCAAGGTACTTTTATTTTTGTGCATGCATCACAGCTATGAAAATTCCTTTGTTTTAAGAAGTAATATATATAAATTACCAACAACCTTGGATTCCAACTTCAAATTAATGTTAAAGTGTTTTTGCTACTACTTCATTAGGTTTGTTTTTTCAGTCTTTTTCAATGTTTTACATGGATATATATGTATTTGATAGTGTGGGCAATAACTGCTGAAGATTACCAACTAACTATTTCTATTGAAGGATTGTTAATTAATTATGCTAGTCTCCTAAAGGTGGTGATACAGGTGAAATATTTAAGTCACCCAATCAATGCCCTTCTAAAGTTAACCCAGCAATAATGTTCATTTACAAACAAGATAATAGGGTTATCAAAGTAAATTTTTAAAAGTCAACTTCTATACATTTTTATTTACATATACAATGGTTACTTAGCCCCAAGATATAAAAGTATTGAGAGGAGGAAAAAACATGAAAGAAATCACATCGTAATAATTTTACATTCATATCACCGGATTTCAAGGCCCTTTGATTAGTGAGAGTAAAAGTTGAGGTTCCCATCATTTCATGGCCTTAATATCCCAAATTCACCAACATACATTTTATTTTTAAGTTTGGGAACTCATGCTTTAAATTATTTCCAATATAAAAGTAAAAATTTGAATAGAACAGGTCAAAGCAAAATGCTTCCATACTTGATTAAAGTTTTTTGAATGACTGTGAGATCAAAGAATATTTTTCCTACACATTTTTATGCTAGAAATAGCAAAAATTTCTTAACATCATGGGTAAAATTGTCACCTTAACCTTCATTTACACCCAAAAATTCTGGTAAAATGAGACCCTGTATCAGCTCAAGTCTATTTATTAATCATTTGATGCAATTATTTTTAGCAAACTAAATGATGCAATCTAAAATAAATTTTAAAAATTTGTAATTTAAGAAAGCAAGTTGAAATGTATTTAACCCTTTCAGTCACATTATGGATTTCCGGTCCTCACGCCTCAGTTGCGTTATGGCCAAATCAACAGGACATATTCAATTTAGCCCAGAGAAGATAACTTTTTTTAAGAAGTTACAAAGAGCCTATTTATAAACAGGAAGAGTCAATCTCTTGTTTTTTTAGGGTTGGGAGCGGTGTGCTTGAGTTTATGCTACTTTCAATTTTTAAAAATTAATAGTGCTTATGCTGACAGTAGGCATTTGCCTTTCTGGAAAGGCTTCAAACTTCAAGAACATTGGCTGTTAGTGTCGACAGTGATGAATCTGATGCAAATATAGATAATGGAAATGAAAGTGATGTTGATATTGAATTAGTTAAACATCTTGATGTTGAAGATGAAAATGATGTTGATAGATCTGACAGGTCATATTAAGTTCAATGGAAATCAAAGAATTTGTAGGCGAAACTGGTCCTAATGTAGACTTGTATAAATAAAATTTCTTTTCTCTACAATTATCAGGTTTTTTTTTTGACCGGATAAAGATTGATTTTAAATAAATTTTTGAAATCAGCACTTTATGGTCAAAATGGAGTTATTTCCCTTCGCTTTGGTCCTGAAGGTAATTTCTTAATGGCAACTGAAAGGGTTAAATATTACCAATGTTCTATTCACGACAAATTTTGTGGTATAAAATTTCACTTAAACATTCATCATATAATTGAAAACAAGTATTAATTATTTATAAAGGATAATAAGAAAATGGCTTTTTACGAAGCTTTCAAATGTCAATTTTTTTTTGGTGCTTTTAACTGTTGCTGCGGGGCGCCTGTCAAGAACGCACCATACCCATTTTGACGCACCATCTCCTCATAAGTGGCAAGCTGGGCAGGTGTTGTGCCATATGCACTGGCCAGCATCTGGAGTTGTGGATTCATTGCGGGGACTTGTGTCTGGGCACCAGAGGGCATGTACAGGTTCATGAAAGCTGGGTGAAGATGGGGACTGATAGACATGGCTGCAGCAACAGCTGAAGATGAGTCGGGCATGTGAGGTGACTGTGGTGGGTGGTCTGAGGACTTGACAGGCTAAAATGACAAAGTTAACAAAAATATTAAGTTTAAAAAAAAAAACATGGGGGAGAATGTGATGAGAAAAATATAATTTGAGATTTAACATCAGCTATCACATTATTTTTATGCCATACATGAGTTACTGGAAGCTGAGCAAATGAAAAAACAGGCAAATTTATTTTAAAAATTACACTAGGAACAACAAATGTGCCTAGATCACTAAACCCAAGCCAAAGGAAAAGAATTAGGGCGTATCTAAAAAGGAATGGGCTATGATGTTTTCACATAGCCAAACTTTACCCATTAATGACCTTCAATCGAAGACCAAAAAAGTAATTATTTGTGGTCTGTGCACAGGGCTAATTCAACTTAACAAACACCTCACCCAAATATAACACGAGATAACATTAACCTTCTCCCCTTTGCAAATATCTCAATGAAATAGTATCAAATCACCATAGTACATACACCTCAAATACCTCCCCTAACTGATCGATTATAGAAGCATCCTATATGCAGATGCATGGCTATTAATAAAGACCTGCACATTTTTTTACCATGACATCAGGGTGATTGGTACAACCCTAATAGATCAGAGTGTGAAAAGAAACATTATTCACCACCCTAAACAGATAACTTTAAAAGAATAATCACTTCTAATAGAATAAAGAGTCTGGAATCAATTAACATCTTTTTTTTATTACATCAATAAGATTTCTCTAATTCTATTTCCAAGAAAAGACCAGAATTAAACACAAAATGGACAAGCAATTAAACTTTCTCTAAACCTTATGATATGTGGTTTTTTCAATCATTTGCCTTCAATCCTGAGTTCTAAACATAGAAAAGTTTTTTCTAATGAACATATTCTAAATCTTTTTTTTTTAAATAAAAGGTCACAAATGTGCCATGTAATTTTAAAAAAGAAACAGGTATTTAATTTATGTAAAGATTTTAGAACACATCTATACCCTTATAAATATTATACAAAACACCACTTACCCTTGGTAGTGCTGTGAACTGTGTCCCAAATAGCGCTGAGGTGAGTCGTCCATCTTTGCTGGATGATGCCACTGGACTTGGAGATGGCAAAGACTTGCTAGAAGACTGCGGCTGACTTGGCAATAATCCATTAGAATTGGATGGGGACCTCATTTGGTCCATTACTTTACTGTTACTATGACCCTGGGGTATAAAAGACTGTTGAATCTCTAAAGGTGGCATGTGGGCATATGGAGAAAATGTTTGCTGAGTTTTTCTATTCGAGTTCTTTAATTTGACATTCTCCTGTTTACCACTGTTCACTGTCTGTAGGGTTGGCTGCTTACGTAAAGGAGACGTCGTCTGACACGGGGGTGCAGACTGAGGGGTTTGTCGAAATATTTGCTTGGGATCATCAAATCGTTGTCTAATGCTGGTTGGGTAAACCACAGGGGCACTGACACGAGGAAGACCAGTGGAGTTTTTTATCCGATCTAAAACTATATCCGGGCTGGGAAAAACAGGTGTCGCTGTCGCTGTGGGATGATCAAAAGGGTAAGGTCGCTTACGAGGATAGTTGTGCGCTGCAGGTGGCGGGCTGGTGATGGGCGGCTGAAGTGGAGAGAATGGATTTGTAGAGGATGGATGAAGATATATAGTTGTTGGAGCAGGTGGGAGATGAGACTGATATCTGTGCCCCGGTGGTGTGGGGTGAAGGATTGGTGCAAGTTTTTGACTAGAAATTGCCAAAAGATCATCAGTCATGAAGTAATGAGGCAAACGTGAGTTCTTCATGGGCACTGCCCCAGACTGAATGTGGTCGTTGAGGAGGTATGGTGAAGGTTTATAGGGTGTGTTTGAATGTGCAGCTTTCAGAGCACTACTGCCTGAAGGGGACAGCTGCTGGTGGAGCTGAGAAGAATGTGATGACCTTCCACTGCCAGCTTTATGGCGACTTTCAGAAACAAAAGCCGAACCCTGCACAATGTTTTGATTCGATTTTGTTGATGGTGCCATGGCTGCAATAGAAGGATCACTGGTCTCTGATGAGGAAAAAAATCCACTCTCAGTTTTCATCTGTGGCGATGAGGCAGAGGCGGATGATGTGGAAGGGCCCATTATACCCCAGGACGACTGTAACATGTGATGGGGTATAACTGGCATAAAATAGCCACCCCTGTACATTAAGTTTGCATTGATTAAGCAAGTATTGTCCACTTGTGTTCCAGGTGACTTCAGAGTCTGTTGATGCTGCTGTTGCTGAAGCTGCTGTTGCTGAAGCTGCTGTTGCTGAAGCTGCTGTTGCTGCTGTTGCTGAAGCTGTTGTTGCTGAAGTTGTTGTTGCTGAAGTTGTTGTTGCTGAAGTTGTTGTTGCTGAAGCTGTTGTTGCTGAAGTTGTTGTTGCTGAAGCTGTTGTTGCTGAAGCTGTTGTTGCTGGAGCTGCTCTATATTAGAGAAAGGGAGATTCTGAGTACTGTCCACATTTTTAATTTCCATTATTGGGAAGGAACTGTTGCCCCCTATACAATGACGGATGACTGGGATCTCCAGGACTTCAGTTTCTCCTTGGAAATCTGGCTTGGAATGTTCTGTCATGCCAGGTACAAGCTTTTCCTTGCGCACAATGGATTCGTTGGTCACGTTCGGTGAATTTTCGTTGGTAATGTCACATTTTGTTTCCTCCTATAGAAGTAAATAAATAATTTAAGTATTGTTTCTTTTTTCTTTTTTGAGTGTTAAAAATGAAAGCTCTTAATCTGTTTTCTCAGTAACTTTCCATTTAATCCATGTATTTTAACAAGCTGCTACTGCACCATATAAGAATTTTAAAAATTTGTTTTAGAGATCTAATTCCATTTGTTTAACATTGTGTTAGATCACAATCCAAGAAATGAATTGTATCCTCATTAAAAACTCACTTTGACAATAATTTATGCCCTGACCATGCTTTAGACATTTATCTCTGGTGCTTTTTTTTTTTTTTTTTTACAGCAGATTAATTCAGATGACATTATTTAACAAAATAATTAGATTAACAAAATAAAATATCACCAGGAACAGGATTAAGGGTTCCATGAAGTGGACAAAAATAGACAATTTTCATATCCTCTAAACTAACACTTAACTAACATTTAATATACCATTAAGGGGTTTGTAGAAAGTCTATCTTAAGTGTTTAGGATTCAAAGTGAGTATGGATGTACAACAAAGATATAACAACTCTAAGAGCTTTCGAAATTAAATCAGATGTCCATGTTTGATTAGAGAGATGAGCAGAGGTGGAAATAAAGCAGAAACAAAGAAATGATGCATTAAAAAGATATAAATATGAACTTGCGAGCAAGGCTGAAATAAGATTATCATTAAAGAGCATCTTAAACATGCCAAGACCCTCTACGGAAAATGAAGGCTGAAATTCAAGCATCTGTTTTCTTTCATGATATAATTTGATGAGCTCCTGTTCTGTGATGCTACAAGACATGATGGTGCAAAGTTAATGATTGAATAAGAGCAGTAAATCAAGCACTGGAGATGCAAGCATAGCCAAAGCGGGTGATATGAGATGATGTCACCCACTAACCTTGGGGCTAGTTTTAACAATTTCTACCTCAAGTACCTCCTCCTCCTCTGGTTTAGTTTCTTTCTTTAACTCAATTAATTCAACATTCTGAAAGAGACATTTTAATGACAAAAAAAACTCTGAAAATATCTACAAATATGATTCGAGGTCTTTGGAAAATAGGTTTTTTTTTTTCATTTTAAAATTGCATTGTGAAAAAGGTAATTTTTATTTTAAAAATTAATTAGTATTGACTGTGTCCAACTACTACACTTGAGTTATGTCAATGTCATGCCTATAAATTAAAGCTTAATAAGTATGCTATCATTCAATCCAGTGTGCATTTCATCTTTATATGATACATATTATATAAATCGGTCTAGGAATCTGGCCATATAATAATTAAGTCTTATAGAGAGCGTCACATTTAAACTTAGATTCTATAGAGATGAGATATACTGTTGCTATGGGCACAAAATACAGATATTAACTCAGCAATAGCAATTTCATACACAACAAAGATTTCTCATAAGAAAAACATCGTGGATAAAAAACACATACCTCTATTTGAGTAGTAGGCTCTTTCTTATCCTCCGTGTCAGGCTTCTGTACTATTTCCTGTAAAAACCTGGGCAGTTTTTTCTTGGGTTTGCCAAGCTTAATTTTGTAAAGATGCCTTTCATATGGCAACAGCAATCTGAAAACAAGAGGTGGGAAACAAATTAGAATTTGTTTTTCATCAACATTATTGTTGAAAACTCTTCCCTAACTTACAGTTGCAGCTCTTTTCTTTGATAGACTTTCAACGGAGTCATCATTTATGGTGCCCTCTTTTACCTTTCATAGTGTTTTCTTGTGCAGGTGGCAGCACTTGTGTTACTGGAATTGCCACCCAACTTGTCATACAAGTGTTTCCACATTCGTTTGTGTGTAATCTGTAAATTACAAGATAATAGGAGAAGCCAAACAACATGAACATATATTACTTAAAGCAGCAGCAAAGGTATGTCACAAAGGTTCACAAATGTGGTGTCAAATTTTTATTCAGCAATAAATATTATTTTAAGAAGGACATTTAAGAATTATACCCACAAAGAATGGGACTTTTATTTGAATACATTCTAATTCTAATCTAAGTCTCCAGTATTAATGATAGTTAGTTTGGAGTCTGCTAGTCACAGAAAAAAGTTAATATTTCTTTTTAAATACTTGAATGGTGTGACATACAACTGTAACATGAAAAAGGTTGAAAACTGCTCCTAGAAAGTGTTAAATCAACTTAATGTAATTTAACACTAACTACAGAATCGTAATAATTTTCACACCTTTTTTTTACAATTTATTTTTTGATCACTTTGACTTAAAGTTTATAAATGGCTTGACATGTATTCGAACACAAGTATTTGTCTTTTACAATATCTAAATATTGTTTTTTAAGCACAATTGTTTACAGCGAAAGAATATTTTTTACAATAATATAATATTTTTTGTTAAAATCCTGTGACTAAATTATGTTTACTTACAGCATCATAGCCTCCCAACTTCTCAGCTTGCTTGTAAAAGTAGAACAAATCTACTGCAATAGAAAACAAAATTTGAAAAAAAAAGATGAACTAACACTATTGGGTCTACCTTTGAATAGCCCACAATTCAATAACATTGGCTGATCCTTGAATAATTGTTTAAGTAGTTTTAAAAAATGTAACAAACATCATTCCATTCAAAACTTGAAGAAAAAAAAGATGAACTAACACTATTAGGTCTACCTTTAAATAGGCTATTATCAATTTTATACAAGAGAAAGACAAGAAAATTTGCTTAGAATTACATACTTTGTTTAAAGCCAAGGGAAGGAATTCGACCAATGGGCATTTTAGCATCATGCATGAACTTGTGCAGTCCAATGAGAAAAGCCTGTTCTTCTGTGCTGACTTTTTCTTCATTTATGTCTGACGACTCAGTAGATCTCCTAGGCTGTAAAAAGATTTGCATAAACATTGCATTGAACTTAGCATTTATGCATTTAAGCATTGACAGTCAATGATTAATTTATTTTTTTTTAAATTCCCAATAACAGTTCTTAAGTTAAACTTCAACAAGCATACAAGAATCAAGCAATGGGACCATAAAAAAAGAACCCAGCCATTACTTACTCTTGACGATGATGATATGGAAGGTGTAACATTGGCAAATAATTCTTCCATACTGTCAGAGTCCTGCTGGGAGTCTTTCCTCAAGAGTTGTTTGCTCTTTTTACTTTTAGGGCGAGTTTTCAAGTCTGGTACTGAATTATTTAAAGTTTAAGAACATAAATTAAGTATCTGGGTGTAAGCAAAACAAAAATCCTAAATGCTCCTGAAATAATCCTGTAAACCTGATAACATGAATTTAATTTATTATATGATGATGTAAATAAATATGTCTCTATAGTTGAATTTCATGTGTATAGTAACGGGCACATCATCCTTCAATTATATAATGCAAATTGTATTCCACAACTAGCTCAATATTTAAAGAAACAGATTTATTTTAATCTATTATAAAGAATTGAGTTATATATTTTTAAATTAACTATTATGTCAAGCCTTTTTTTGAAGCCCAAACTCATATAAACAATTTGTAATTGGAGATGTCACTTGAGGAACATTAAAATACCAATGCAAGGTAACTCAAATTGGTAAAGCAGGGCTAAAAATATTTTTGTATCATTCTTATCTCCCTTAAAATTGTTCCAACACTTTGATATTTTACAATTATGTCATTTTAAAAAATCTTATCTGAAAATTTTTAATCTGTTAAATGGATTCATTATTATAATCTTACACATATGATCCATTCTCAAGTCCCATGTGTCCAGCTCTGATTGCTCAAATGTCTCTCTACAAAACATAACTCTGCAGCCTGGAGCACGACCAGAGAAGCCTCCAATGGCCACAACTATGGCCAGATGCAACCACTGATTTTCACATCCCTCAAGACGCTTTCGCATTGCCCTGTAGCGACAGTACTTTGGGTAGCTCAAAATAGCCAGATTGGCTGCCCCACTAACAGACTTTTCAGCTACTGAAAACATAAAGCAAAATTGCATTAAAAAAGCTTTCAGGTAATGTATTTCTTAAATGTGCAAAAAGGAAGTCATGTTTGTAAGTATGCATCACTACTTACTATCCACAAATAGTTTTATAAAAATGTATTGCTCTAAAAACAATGTGCAAAATAAAATAATTTTTATCAAATATTTTGTGAAACTCTTTTCTCAAAAAGGAATTTAAGTGAATATAGTTATCCGAGGGGGGAAAATGTTTTTAACTGACCAAAGTCATAATCTGTATTTTCCAATTTGACAATAGAAACGCTGCAGTTTCTCTTCTTGCCATTCTCATCCATGACGACAACACCATTTTTGATGTCACAGCAACTCCCTTTCCCAGCACAGCTGACACCTCTGTCTCTCTGCACTTTATCACAACCATCTTTCATTGCATTGCGGCCAGGATTAGGGGAGACATTGTCCTTTTTGCTGTCACCGCAGGGGCTGCAGGGCAGGGCCTCCCGCTTGATTCCACCATTGCTTCTGGCCACCCTGTCCCCGCCATCATTGTCCCATCCCTTGGTGGGAGCATCTCCTGTGCAGCACACAGTACTGCCATAAGACCATCTGACATCATTCTGGATGAGTGGGACGAGGTCTTCAAGCTTCAGAACCAGCCGCTCTCCCAAGGCAACAACTTCATCCTATTCAGAAGAGAGAGATACACAAATTTTATTATTATTTTCTTCATAAACAGTTATACACAAAACATATTGCAGGTGATTTTGGTGGAAAACATTTTTTTGTTAAAATAGCCCCAGCATTGCTTGTTTATATTTATGTAAATACAAAAGTGCAGTTGTTTGTCATAAATCTGTAAGAATAATGTTAAAATTTTAGTAGATTTTTAAAATTAAACTATTTTTCCTAGTTTCAAATTATTTTACCCAAGTTTAAACTATTTTTCTTGGATTTTAATTATTTTTTTCCAAAGATTTGAACTATTCGTCCTATAGTGATTTATTTTTCCCCAGATTTTAACAATTTTCCCTGGATCTGAATTATTTTTCCAAGATTTGAAATTATTTTTCCTACAGCTGAACTAGGTAAAAAGATTTTTTTTTTAATTTAAACACTTTTTTTAAACATCGTTAATTAAAAATCAATGGATTAACTTTTCTTACCATTTGCTTTTTTAAAAATCATTTAAATAAAAACTTCTTTATTAAATTGTCAATAAAAAATCCTGATTTTAGACAGCTCTGTGTGAAAACATCAATACCAAAATGGTGTTCCATATTCTCCCAAGCTTTTTTTAATTTAAAGTTCATAATCAATGACATTATGGGGTTGGGACAGGAGAAAGGAAAAAAAAAACATTGTGAAAACGAGACCAACATAAATTATTTCACAATTAACTTATCAACCTATATAAACAATCCAACATTTTTAAAAAGTTCAAAAAAGAAACCAGTACATCTTGCCATGAAATTGGACTACAATGTCTATGTCTTAACTTAGAACCTTGTCGAATGTTTTAGTAGTACATAGTGTACTTTCCCATTTAACACAAATACATGTTTTATTCACACACACCCCCCCCCCCACCAAACCACCTTCCCCCAATCTGGTTGTTGTGCAAACAATCGCGTTGTCCTTTACCAAAACGTCCTGGAGTTGTGTGTATTTTTAAGCTATACCTCTCAATCACACAGTCGACAAACAGATCAGGTATCCCAAATGATTTAATTGAAATCCAGGAAAATAAAATAAAGTCCGTTTATCTACTTCCATAGAATGAAATTGAGGACAGTGCCTTCCTTTTGAGATAATTAACAAAATATTTTTTTGGTTAAAATATTAAATTAATTAATTTTTTAAAAATGTAAGCTGATTATGTTAAGGGAGCGAGTGTTGGTGTCATTACAAAACTCAATTCAGTGATAGTTTGATAGTGATGGCTTAATGAATTCAGTGATAGTTTGATAGTGATGGCTTAATGAATTCAGTGATAGTTTGATAGTGATGGCTTAATGAAATCGGAACATTTCATTTTTCCTCAGTTTGACGCCATTATATATTCAACACTGAGTTGGTCAAGACAGTTGAAAATGGCTGTGTGCACTCCTCCCAAAACTGAACAACATGGATTGCCATGGGGATATTTTTTAATTTATTAATTTTATATTGTGTTGTATTTTTAATTGCCCGTGTGCTTGGGGGGGGGGGCGCTTTGCAGGATTTATTTTATGACGGGGCAACTGAAATTTTTAATTTATTAATTTTATATTGTGTTGTATTTTTAATTGCCCGTGTGGTTGGGGGGGGGGGGGCGCTTTGCAGGATTTATTTTATGACGGGGCAACTGAAATTAAGGTGTTTGAGTTTTACCCGCACATGTTAGGGGATGCCGAGAGGCTTGTCGGTGAAATGATTCTCAAATTTCTCAACAGATCCGAACACTTCATGATGTCAAACAAAAGTCCCAAAAGGCAAACTTGTCCACGGGGCATAACCATTCAGTAATTGGGGAGAAACATTTTTGGTTGGATCTAAAGGCAAAGTCCAACATAAAAAATCCCTGGACCATGTTTGTTGACATTCACAACGCGGGAACCCCTCTAATGTAATCAATATCCCTCCACCTGCCAGATTACGTTTGAATGCTATCAGTTCTCCCCCTTGCACTCTTTCAAAAGGCAATTGATTTTTTTTAGTCCCTCCTCTCCACCACTTCTAAACGTGTTCTCAAATAACTACTTCTTTGTGTCAACTAATCAGAGGGAATGGGGGGGGGGGGGAGGGGGGAAAAGGGGGGGGGATATACACTTTTAATATTTTAATCATCCTCAAAAACGGATTCATGCAGGCAGGTAAAAAATGTGACAGATTTATAAAGAAAAATTATAACTGAACCAAAAGTTTCTAGATATACTACTTCTTTGTGTCAACTAATCAGAGGGAATGGGGGGGGGGGGAAGGGGGAAAAGGGGGGGGGATATACACTTTTAATATTTTAATCATCCTCAAAAACGGATTCATGCAGGCAGGTAAAAAATGTGACAGATTTATAAAGACAAATTATAACTGAACCGAAAGTTTCTAGATATATTAATAGGACTCGATTTTCACTAGCAACCGTGTGGAAAGCCGGCCACCACCCCCTGCCCCCTTTCCTGAAAGGCTTGTTATACATATTTGTGGTGCTTCAGGTCAGGTCCCAAGTAACCTTTCTTAGGATGAATTCTGAGGCCATTGAACAAAGCAGCTTTTTTTTTTTTTTGATTTTGATTTAATTGTAGACATTTGTTTGTGTGGCATATTTATTTTAAATATATATCAAGAAAAGTTCATCAAGAAATGTGCACCAAAACATGACAAGGTCGATACAAAAAATAAAAATTGCTACATTTGTATCAACAATGTAATTTTCGGTGTACATTTCTTCAGGTGAATGACACTTTGAGAAAACACAACTATATAAATAGAGGTCGACGACGTCACCACAAGCCAACTCTCAGAAGTTGTTCAAGGTCGGCGGTGCGACAAGGACCACCAACGTGAATGTGCGCCAATCGTTCAAATAGAGATGAAATTATTTCATACAACACCAGTCAACTATGCCTGTATCATTGAGTTAAAATGTTTACGCCATAAATTATTGCATACACCTGTCAATTATCCCTATATCATTCGGTTAAAATGTTTTTGCTGACATCCGTCCGTCACAATGTGACGATGGAGTGGGCTTCGGAGGACGAAATCCACATGGGATTATAAGCTTGGCACCAGTGACGTCGCAGGAGTTGTCAGAATGTTGTATCAATGTTATCCGCCTTTCGGGACTCTAGCTCCGGGTTTGATTTCAGAGTTTCCTTCTCTTAGATGAGTTGCCATCCAAGGTTAACGAGCCCCATCCACCCGGGGTGCTGGTGGTGTTATTGCTCTGGCTGGAATTGAACTCCAGACCCACCAACTTGAGATTTGCTCAGTTTAGACCACTTGGCCACCCAGCACCCAGTTAAAATGTGTACGCCATAAATGATTGCCTACACCTGTCAACTATCCCTGTATCATTGAGTTAAAATGTGTACGCCATAAATGATTGCCTACACCAGTCAACTATCCCTGTATCATTGAGTTAAAATGTTTACGCCATAAATGATTGCCTACACCTGTCAACTATCGCTGTATCATTGAGTTAAAATGTTTACGCCATAAATGATTGCCTACACCAGTCAACTATCGCTGTATCATTGAGTTAAAATGTTTACGCCATAAATGATTGCCTACACCAGTCAACTATCGCTGTATCATTGAGTTAAAATGTTTACGCCATAAATGATTGCCTACACCAGTCAACTATCGCTGTATCATTGAGTTAAAATGTTTACGCCATAAATGATTGCCTACACCAGTCAACTATCGCTGTATCATTGAGTTAAAATGTTTACGCCATAAATGATTGCCTACACCAGTCAACTATCGCTGTATCATTGAGTTAACGCCATTTTACATGTGTTGCATAAAACATGCGAGCCAGCCAACACGGAGACAATGGTAATATTTCTACAGCCCTGCTCGGCTTGAGTCTTGTTTATTTCAAGATACCGTCAGAGTAAAAAAAAAAATATCGTTTTCAAGTGTGTGCGGGTGTATCGATTCCAACATTTCATTTAATGAAATATCTGGTTTTATTCATGGTCAATAATTTTCTTTTTTCGCAACCAATATTTTTGTTTACATTAAAGCTCTCTAACTACCAAAAAAAGAAGAAAGAAAAAAAGAAAAGAAAGGAGAGTGGGGAGCGATTGGCGAAGGGATAGAAGGTGGTTGGTAGTTGGTAGGCGTGTTGTTGAATGTGTCGTTCACTATCGCGTGCCGCTCTTTGGCTGAAAATGTCAACCTCTGAGATCTGCAACATTATCACTCACACTGCAAATACACGTCGCACCACCGCCATGCACGCACACAAACACACACGACACGAGCACACACTCAAATAGTCCAGCCATAATTAAGTATTTTACACGAAAACCTGTTGTCGGTTTTTAAATTGAAAACCGGTTTTTCATTTTCACAAACCGGTTACCATTTTTTTTTTAAATCATGATTTTTAAAATATCCACCATTGTATTTTTTAAATTGTTTAATTACCACAAGAAACTGACAGTAAATTTATCAAATAGTTACTGACGTCCAAATCAACATGGTACGCTTTAACGGCCTACAGCTGAAATGAGGAAGGTCACTTCCATAAATAGATGACGGCCTTTTATATGTAATCCGAAATAACTTTGTTTTAGCGCGTGTCGGCAGTGTGCTGTAAGTTAACAAGATGACACAAGTTTATGGATCATCAACAGTGTAAACATTAGACAGTTATATAAATAATGACTGCATATGTTTAGATACAATTCGTAGGGTTCAGTTAGAACCACAAGTCAGTTCTGCAAATAAAATCAAATTTGAATGAAATCAGAGTTTAAGTACAAGACAAATATGGCTGGTCGTATTAAGAGATCTAAAAGGCTGGGAAACGACTACGACACGCTGTCCTGTTGTTTTGATGTGGCGGGGTCAAGTGACGGAACCAAACTTGAAACTGTGATAACAAAATTGTACAGGCGAGGCTGGGGGGCTTCGTGATCTCTAACAATCGATTTAAATTTCTACTTACGAGCTTATCACTGTATGTCAAAACT